CAGGAGGGTGGATCTGGCACCAGAGTTTCCCTGTCTGTCTTTTAGCGGGGGGTAAACCACTCACCGATACCTCCCCAGTTCCCAAAGATGACTTTCAAGGGCTGGTACCCCAAAAGCACAGGGCTGTGTGCTAGCATGTACCCCAAAAAAGCAGAGGCACCAAGTTAGCCCTGGCCACAGCCACACCCATCCAGGCAAGGGAGCCAGGGGCACCGGCTGCTCCTCCCAGATTCGAGATGGAGCCGAGAGCCGGGACGCAGAGCACTGGGGAGTGTGGAAGCCCAAGAGAGAGACCCCCCCTTCCCCTGCCCTCCGTGCCCCAGCACGACTAAAGGGCTTGCTTGTTCAGAAGCTGGCAAGGCCAATTAATCTAATGAGGTTTTGCAGCCAGGGACTATTGTCAGCCAAGAAAGGCACAGCACTGCAGCGTGAGCACACGGGTGTCTCCTAGAAGCCAAGGGAATTTGGCAGAGCAAAGCTCACAGCAAAAGCAGGGACGAGAGCAGCAGGGATGGATCCTTTTGTTGCTCTCCACCAACCAGCAAGAAAATACACGGGGCACAACAGGCTCACGTGCCGAGCCCAGACAAGGCACCTGAAAACAGGGCCAGGAGCCATCGCTGCTGCGGCCGGGGCCAGGCAGATTAACTGCAGAAGGGACCTTGAGCAGCTGAAATGGAGGCAAAAAATCCAGAAGCAGCCACCCCCCAGCTGCAGCCACTCTGCTCCTCTGCTTTTGCAAGATGGAGCACAGGCTCATTTCGTATGGCAGGGAGCACACAGGGGAGGCTGGTAGCTCCTCCCGGATAGCGCTTCCTTGGCGCCGTTACCCACCACGGGCAGTGCTAACCACCGCCATCGATAATCCTCAACCCACCTTGGCACGGCTGCATTTTGGTACTGGAAGAGGCTTCTGCACGGATGGCGGCTGCGACAGGGCACGGCCCAGGCACCCTTGATGAAACGCTGAATGCAGCCAGGCTCCCCAGGTTGCCCCAGCAGCCCTGCTACGGGACACATGTTGCACAGGCGGGAGCCGCTCACGTGGGCCAGCGCCTCCCCGGGCTCCTGGGCAGCAGTCACGGACAGACGAGCCGCAGCCACCCCGCTGCCCAGGACCCGCTGCCTTCCACGTGCGAAGGACCACACCGCAGCTCCCCAGCGCATGCCCAGAGTAAGACACGCAGGCACTGATTGGATAGAAAGGTTTTATCAAGTTTAAGTTTTAAAAAAAGATCAAAAAATTGTTTTTTATTTTTACACGTACATTACAAAAAAATTTGCAATTGGAATCTTCATCCAGGGGTTACTGAGCTGATTACAAAAAAAAAAAAAAAAAGCAGCAGGAAAGCCTGGCTTACACAGCAACCGACAGGGAAGCACAGACATTACAGGGGAAACAGAAGGCAGCGAGCCTGCGCCGAGACGCACAGGTACGGGCGCGGACTGGGCTCCGCTCCCCAGCGGCAGCAGCTTTACGCCCGCTGCATCCGTGCACACGAGGCAGCAGAGCCCGGCCATCAGTGTTTATTTCGCAGGGGTAAGAAAACCAAACAAGTCTACAGTATTTTGCTCATGAGGTTGGGGGGTTTGGTTTTTCCCCCCCCCCCCCTTTTTTTTTTTTTTTTTTTTTTGTTTTCTAAGCAGAGTTTCACTGCTGAAACTCCTTTGGTCTGAAGTAACCCCCTGACCCTGAGAGTAGCCGTCAAACATCACCCTTCCGACCCCCGGCCTGGCTGGGTCCTCCGAGGGCACTTCCCATCTCTCCTCCCACCATATCTTCTGCTCAGCAATAAACCCCTAAGACACAAGTGGAATAATTAGTCTTATAAATATATTTATATCATGTAGGAAAATAAGGCACTTCAGGAGGGTTACAGCTCGTCTAATTCTATGACATTCTAATCAGGAAGAAAAATGGGTTAGTTTCTGAAATGAATTAAAACGAATGTTAATACAGTAATAAAAACATCTGATCCGCTTCCCACTTAAAGGCTTTGTTTGAAAAGGAAGAGAAGAAAGTACCCCCCGAAAACCAACAGCAACGAGACCTGACCCGGGGCAGCTGCATCTGCCCCACGCGACGCCCTGCCAGCCAGCTCCCGCCGGAGCCCCTCAGGGGTGGGTACTTTCAAAAGAGGCATATTAAATAAGTTCATGGACTTAAAAAAAAAAAATCCTTTCCCTGAAATGACACTCCGCAGAGTTTCTCGGCCATCTGGGACCTCCAGGAGCCCTTTCCCTCGATCTGGTCTGGTGCTTTGGGTCTGATAAGGAGAGGAGAAAGCAGTGAAGGTCACCGACTGCGGATGAGGCTCCAGGCTGAGCCCAGGGAGCCGGGACATGGCTTTCCCTGCGAGCGCGGGCAGGGGGGGTGGCGGGGGAAAGCCAAGCACTGCAGGCGAGGACACCGAGAGAATGGTTAACCAGGAGCACGGCGCCGGGGAAGGCAGCGGCGGCCTGCCCAAACTCGCCGTGTGGGAGCGAGCACGCCCCGAGCAAACGGCTTCCAGGACGGGCAAAATGGCTGCTCCGGCTCCGCGTCTCCATACAGACACGGGTCGGGCTGAAATGGAAAGACGGGGAGGACCCCACCTGCCAGCTCTCGCTTTTGGCTTTGTGAAATGCTTGAGGTTCGTCCGCCGCGCTGTTCAACCCAGCCTTACACAGAAAAAGAGGAGGAAGGAGCAAGGTAACACGAAATCACAAAGATGGCAGGGGAGTCCAGCACAGGCCCTCTGTCTACACGGGGCAGCAGCCCTGCAGTTACAGCACAGCTGCTCTGTCTTGCAAAGGTTGTTTTTGGCACCTCTCCTCTTCCCCTACTGGTTTAAGAAATATTAAGCTTACTTGGTGGCCCAGGGCTCTGTGATTTTGCAACGATACTCAAAGACAGTCACTTTACACCAGTTGTTTCTCAGGGATCTCCACGCTAGGCTCATACCACTTCTTTTTGCAATCAAAGGAGATTTAAAAAAAAAAAAAAAAAAAAAAAAAGACAACCAACCTTCCCTACCTGTCCACAACCCTTCTGTTTAGGATCCAGCAGTTTTGATTCTCACCTCAGGAGGAGAGTTTGAAAGCAGAGGGTGGTTACAGCAGGCTTGCACGGACAGAGCTGCGTCCCTCCTGCTGCCAGGAGGGCTGTGCAAGCAGGCGGAGGAGCCGACTCCACCCGCGGCCATGCCAGATCACCCACACAGCATCCTTGTGCAACAGGCAGCGCGTGGGGCGACCGTGTCCCTAACGCCCCGAGGCACGGCCCTGCCTGACAGACCATCCGTCTGGGTCACAGAGAATATGGCACTTTTCTGAATTTCACACGACAGGAAAACTCGCTCCCCTTTCCCAACAGGGGCCAAGTCTAGTTAAGGCAATTTAAAATTAACCCAGGTTTGGCATTTGCAAGCTCCTTGCTTCCCTGTGTGATAACGCTGTCAGCCCGGGTTAGCTTAAAGGTCCGTTTTCCCCAGGAACCTGTCTCCGAGAGAAGCCAGAGGAGGATGCTTACAGAAAGAGCAGAAAAACAAGAGGCAGCAATTCTCCTCTAGCTCCCCTTACCCAGCTTGCAGCAGTCATCAGTTTGCATTTCCAAGTCCCTCCACTGCACGATGGCTCACTGGCACTTGAGGGGTTTGCTCCCTCTTCCAGAACCTGGAACCAGCGCTGCTCAGATGTTCCCAGCCCATCGGGATGCCTCACCGTCTACGCCTTTGCATCCTGCCTAGCAGCTGATTTGCAGACAAAAATCTGATGGTGTAGCAGTCCAGTAAATCTCTCCTGATTGTGCTCAGGGTCGCGCTGGATCTCGGCTTGATCCGCACCCCAGAAAAGCCCATCCTCCAGGCCCTTATCTGCTCTTTCAAAGATTAAAAATGCACGCGCACACACATGAGAAATCAGTGAGAACTCAACGGCACAAACTGAAGCCATCAATCAAACCCCAAGAAGAATTTTCAGCAACCTGGCAGCCTCGGGCTGGGCCTGGCGCTCCCGGTGTCAGCAGCACCATTAAACGAGGCAAGCCAGAGAAGAACGAACGGGCACAGGCTGGCAAAACACTTTACAGCAGGAAAGGCAAAGAGGCTGGAGAGTTGCTCTTAACAGGACACACAGCTGGTCCTGCCCCACAACAGCTGGACCCGTGATCTCCAAAAGGCTTTGGAATTGCTTTCTTGCATGACCCTGGCTGAGAGAGTCACATCCAAATTAAAATACACATCTGTACCATCGGGGGTATTAGTTTATAGATTTCCAGGATATGCTTATAATCTATGTAAGGTAATACAAAACAGCAATAAAACCTAGGTCAGCTAGTTCAAGTTTGCCATTTTCTTCCCCTGCCAGTACTGTATCTGTACTGAGCAGCCTGGGAATTCATAGGGTTAGTGAGGAGAAAAAACGTTTGTTTTGTTTGTTTTTTTTTTAAATTAACTAATGAATTATAATAAAATTATAGGAAAAGATGTAGGTTAGGTCTGATGTAACTGATAGGCAACTCTGTTCACACACAACACATTTTTAGGCACACAAACTCCCCTCCTTAGGTGAAAGGGAAGAGGAAGCAAAGGTAATACCAGCATTTTCTGCTACTCAGGTCCCTGTGTAAAAAGTATGGTCACTATGCTAGAAAAAGCACCTCTTCAAACTGACTGCAGCATTGCCCTGAGCAGGCCAAAGAAGATCAAAGTGCCTGATGTTCAGAGAACCCCTCCCCACACCATCTCCCTGCTCTACGCACTTTTTTTTCCTTTTTTAAACACACTCTCAGCATGAACTGGAGAAATCAGCAAAGCGGAGTTTTGCCACCCCTCAGTGCTGACCACACAGATGCGTCTCTGTGGGCAGTGGCTCTGCTCTCCCAGAAGCAGGAAGCCGAGCAACCGTTCTGCCCTGGCTTTGCATCCCTTTTGTGCAAGTCTCCTTTGGCAGACTTGGCAAAGCAGTCCAGGAGATTTGAGGAAGGTAAAGGCAGCTTTTCAAATAAAAAAAGTCCCTCCTCACATTGCACCCAACGCACTCCACAGCCCTAGAGCCAGGAAGCGCACCCCATGCAGGGTAGTCTGGAAATAATACTAGGGGGTCAGAGGGGAAAGAATTGTGCACTATTGCCAAAACCTGATTATTTGACAGTGGGATGCAGCAGAGAACTGACATTTAAAGCCCATTTTCTTGCAGCACTACCAGTATTCACTGGAAAGGAAGAGCCATCAGATCAACTGTCTGCTGTTGCAATGAGAAAACTAGCTGAAAATGTCCTTCATCTGAAAGGCCACGCAGCCGCAACCGGATCATCCATCTTTACTTTAAAAATCCCTCAGGATGGAGGGTTTATATGTGCTCTGCCTGGTGGCATCGAGAATCTGGAGGTTTAGCGCTCTCTTAAATAAGCAACCGTTACACTCCCTCCAGCTAAATCCCAACACCGCATCCTCAGTGTCCGTGAGGAGACCTTTTAGAAAGGCAGAGCACAAAGTCCTGCCAAAGCAGGAGGGGGAGGGAGACGGGAGACATGCTGCTGGTTGTCTGAAAACCCTTGGCACATCTTTGGTTACGGGATGAAAAAGGAAGCGGTGGAAGGTTTGGCCACCTGATTCTTTAAGAAGATGTTAACCCAGGAGAGAAGGGGAAGAAGGGGACGGGACCATGATTAATCCGACCATTCGTCCTCATCGAACTCTGAAGAGTCGTCCTCAGAGTCACTGTACTCCACAGCGATGCGGCGTGACAGGATCGTTGCCACATCATTGCCCACAACGTCCCGCTTCTCCTGTTCCCGCTGCTCCTCCACCTTGCGGAGCTGGAAGCCTGTTGGGAAGAAGGCAATGGAGGGGATCATGCAAAGGCTTCGGTCACACTGAAATCTCCAAAGCAGCCATCCCTTTGACACAATCCTCTGAGCAAGGCAGCCTGTCCTCTGCCAGTGAGTATCGGACACGCTGTGGGATAACACTAGTTGTGAATGACAGCCAAGACAGGCTGGGTGGGCAGGAGGAATGGGAAGCGAATCGTTTCTGTGCTCCTCTGAGGGGTTACCACCGCTGCCGTTCAATCCACTTGCAAACTTGGAACACACCAATTCCAGCACTGCCGTCTCCAAAGGTGACGGCGGAGGCGTAAAACCTCGTGAGGTGTCAGCAGGGGGGCAGGCAAGGAGGGACCACAAGGGACAGGTCTCAAGCAGCGAGGCGGTCACACTAGTGCTCGTGAGACGGCTCCCAAGTGCTCGCACTTGGATACTGTGGGGTTTTCCAGAGGCAAAGGAGAAAGTTGGTATTGAAACAAAACCTTACCTTGACGAATAGCTGAAAGTAGATCACTCCTGGCATCGCTAACCGCAGGCAAGGATGACTTGGGCTTGGAGGCAGAGGTGTCTGAGGGTGGAGGTGGGGGTGGGGGCCCATCCAGGCCACTGGAAGACAGAGGCGGTGGGCCAGGAGGAGGCGGCGGTGGCGGGGGAGGTGGCGCACTCCCACTGCCCGGCTGTGGCAGCGGAGGTGGGAGCACACTGGCATATTCGACTGCTGGAGGGGGAGGTGGCGGTGGCGGGGCAGCAAACTCGGGGTGAGGAGGGAAAGACGGGGGCGAGGGTGGTGGTGGGGTTCCTGGGGACGGGAAGCCCATTGGAGGTGGTGGAGGGGGGGTGCTTCCCATCAGCGGTGGTGGCGGCGGTGGTGCCGGAGGGGGAGCAAAGCCTGGCCTGGCTGCTGAGGGGGATCCGATCGGAGGAGCTGGTGGTGGGTGACTCGGGCTAACCAGGCTGGACCGTTTGGTCCCTCCAGAACCAGAACCTCTTTGGTTGTCTACAGGATAGCTGTTGCAACAGAAGGAGAGAGATAAGTAAAGCTGTTAGCTGTGAGGCCAGATTAGACTGTACAATCTCAACGTTAACGCAAATCACATGTGTTTGTTGCAGTCCAGACAAAAATCTAAGTTCCAGCTTTAACTGGTGTTTCCATAAGACCTCTCTCCTTGGTTTTAGTTCCCTTGCAGTGTTTCTTTTGGCCTACACCACTAGAACAAAGGAAAGCTTCTGGGGACTGGCAGAAGCATTATCATCCATCCCATCTCCCAGGCTGACAAGAACATGAGCCATCTCACCTCTCCGCCAGAGGCCGGGCGTCACATCGGAGCTCAGAGCAGCCTCCTGGCTTAAGCGCTCCTGCAGCAACGCAAGCCACTGCCCCTCCATGCTGAGGTCAGACTTATGACACACCAAGCAGGGCTGTCTACCGTGATAAATCGCCCAAGGACTGGTGGGTGTGCCAGGACAGCATAGGCTCTGAACACCTGCTAGGAACCGATCTCTTCACTGGATTCCACAGCTCAGAGCTGGAGCGCACCAGCCATGTCTCATAGCTCGCCATGGCGGGGGGAGAGCAAGAAATGGAAATCCAACGTGCTTTTAAGGGAAACACCGATTCTTGAGTGACTGAATCTCCCATTTATGGAAGCTGTGTTACACTGCTGCCCTTAAGATACTGTAATATCCTATGTACGTGTAAAGGAAGCCCTAAATTAACATCTCCTTCCACGGTAAAACAGAAGAATAAGGTACATTTGCCACAAAAAGGTCACAGTTTTTAACAGTGCACAGTGCTGATCCAAGACAGACTACTGGAGATCAAACCTAGCTCCCAGAGTTCTTTAAAAACAACCACCAAAACAAAACCAGAGAGAGGAGATCTCTGTGGCTAGGCAGAGATCTAAGCAACTGCATAAGGCAGCGTAAGCTTCATCTGAAAGCTCGTTTCTGCTCTGCCCTAGAGGAACATGCTGCAGAGTGGAGTGCTTGGTCTCTTTGACACATCAGAAGAGTCTTTTCTGCAGCATTGCTGCCTTTGGATAAGATGGAGACAAGCTAACACAATCCTGTCTATCAGACGTACTTCCTCCTGTTACTCTTGACTCTGTTTTACTGCCTTTAAGAAAAAGCTACTCTCGTTTCATCCTTTGTGTCTTGAGCCGCTGCTGGACCATAATTCTCATCTCTAGAGGTGACTGGAAGTCACCATTTCATCCGATACAAAGCAGCTGCCCTGAACTTGCACTGAAGTCTCTGGAAAGAAGTCAGCTGGTGTGCTCAAGTCCTTTAAATTTAACTACATCTACATCTTCAGCACCCATGTCGCACATTTGTCAAAGATCATAGGGCAAATGATAACAAAAACAGAGGCGAAAGAAGCCGTTCTTTGCACAGCTCTATCAGGAATGTAAGTCTACGTGCTCTGGAACAACTGCATTGGAAAACTCACGCAATGGAGACAGACCATTAAATTGGGACCCCACTCTTCTAGAAAGTGAAGTAAGTCTGCTCTAGTTCTCGCCCAGGCCCATTCTCCCCTTCTGTATGGGAATGACGACAGCAGTTGGGATTTATGGAGAGCCGTGCTGCCTGTGCCTCTGTCCCTGCCTGCAGTTGCACTTCCCCTCCAGACAGGAGCATTCTGGTTCCCATACAACACCCGTTAGGAAGTTATGCTGAACTATCTCAGCCTGTCTCATGTCATCCTTTTACACCACCTACTACTCCTTGGTGACAGAAGGGATCCCGTAGGCTTACCTAAATTCCACCGGGGGTGGAGGCAGGCTGTCATCTGGGAATGAAGGAGGTGGCGGCACAATAGAGTCAGTCTGCGGCGGTGGCGGGTAGCAGTTCACGTCCATGCTTTCATTTGAACCGATGCTGCCGTTCTGATACACCATGTTAGAGGGGTACCTGAGTGAAAGCAAGACAAGCAATTTATTTAAAGAGTTCAAGACAATGTCTAAAGCTCACTTTCCCCCTCACTCACAAGAGCTTTGCCTCGTGGAAGGGTTACAACAAACAACTGTGCAGCAGTTCAACCACCAAACAGCAGTGATATTAACCATGTGGACAGATCAACCTGCAAGACTTAGAAATGAGGTTTTCTATTAAGTATGTCATAGTAGAACTCTTTGACGCAGAAGCAAGGATATGTTTGGGATAAGTTGAACAGAGTAAAAAACCTTAAAGCAACATTTAAAAAAAAAAAAAGTCTCTATTTCTCAAAGCATCCTATATGAAGAACCACGTACAGATGTATTAGTTTGCTCTGCATAATTCTTTGGCTAGAATTTGCCCAGATGCTCTCACGTTTGTTTATTGCTACCACACGCCAGAACAGCATGAGTATTTATTTTAGTGAACAAGAAAACACCGAAATAAAAAAATATTTTTCTTAACATTTGATTATAGAAATAACACTTATAAGACTGTTTTGACCAACTTGGACTTGAAGGACTCCCAGCTACACTGGGTATCATCAGTGGCAAAAAAGAAGAGATACTCAAAGATGCCAAAAAATAAGCCTGAGAACAGAATATCAAACCAAGAAACAGCGATGCCATTAAAAGCAAGTATCCAAAGCTGAAATAGTACTGAAGGAAGAGACCACTCTCACACTCAGCTTTCAATGAGCTCATTTCACTGTAGGGTGGTGAAGCCCCTCGTTCTTGGGGCTCTGTACCTCAAGTGAATGCAAACGCATGAATATGCTTACATGAGAAAAAGAGAGAAGCAAGAAAATGGTGCTGTTGTGCTGCTCGATTCCTCTGCTAGAAACCAAACCTGCTCTCCTATTAAACTAAAAGCAAGTTTTATTTTTAGCTGGAGAGTGTGATTTAAAGAGAGATTTTTCGTATATGAAAGGAAGCTGCAAGGAGCGAGCAAGCGAGAAGTGCATTGTGGGGAATTCAGTCTGCTTCCAGCCTTGCTGGTGTCAAAAGTTAAATGAATTCCCAAGCCAGAAGCGCTAAAGAGAGATCTGTAGCTTGAAATACTTGGATGGGGACAGCCCCCGCTTCAACTTTAGGGTGTGAAGAGCCATTTGTGAAATGTAACAAAGCAATCACACAATACCACTGAGATGCCACCCCGCTCCTCAGCGTAAGGCCCAGAGGCTGGGTGTGATGGGAAGGGCATCATGACGGGGTAGGGAGCCAAAGCTCTCAACACTTTTGTGCCCACAAGACAGGCAGCCAAGAGCAGACTTGCTACCGAAGCTGTTCCTGCCACCTTGTTCAAACCATGTAGCTCCCTGATTTATTTAGCAAATTTTAAGTCAGCAGACGGATTTACTTTGGAGAATCTGATTAGTGGCAGTATCGATCCGCACCGTGCAGTGGATCTGGAGAAGCTGCAGAGCAGGGTGAACTGCATTACAATCAACAACGCCCGCCCGCTCCCCCTCGCTGGGAGCTGAACAGAGCCCCAGACTTGCTTACCCGGTAGGACCGTGTTTGTCCTTCGACTCAACAAACTCTTGTCCCATTTTCAGCTTCTCCCACTCTTCTTTCCGGGTTTTGATTTTCCGCGGATTCACATTTCCTCGGTTTGGATTCTCCTTTTTCTCTTTCTAAGGGAGGAGGAATCAAACAGAAGCCTTATTTTGCTTTAAACTCACTGGGAATAGGGAAGGATAGGACAGATCTACAGCAGTTTAAAGATACAGTCTCAAAGAGAGCTAGGATTTTTAATTTACTTTCCCGATTGCTGCAAACTCCAAAGATCTCCCATAGAAGTTGGAGTACAGACAGCATAAAAAAAAAAAGACAGCCAGCATCAGGTTCCCCAGGGCAGCCCAGACATGATGCCATCGTTACTCCCTGGCACAACCACCCTAAGGGCAGAGGGAAAGCTCAGTTTCCCACATTAATTCAGTTTTTGGCCCCTGTGTCAAGACTGCCAAGTCTCACCATCACCTTGCTGGTGTTACATGCTTTGGGGTGCAACATGGACACTTGCCCACAAAGAACTGGGCTTTAGCTAGCCTCGCTCTCTGTATTCTAGCATGCCCTAAATCTCTCCTTTGTTATTTTGACTGAAAAATCATGATCTGTTTTGATATTTAATACTCCAGTTGCTCAACAGCTAAATAAAATATGCTCAAACTGAATCTTTTATGGTGTAAGTTTCAGTGTTGGTAAACATGGGGCCAGGCAGCCAAACCCATTTGGACCCATGTTTACCCACACTCCCTCCAGGCAGCCAAACCAGGAACTCTGCCGGGCAGTTTCAGCCTAGATGGTTTTGTTAAGCCTCCCACTTGCCCCTGATTTAACATTAGGGCCTGGTTTTGCACTCCTGAAGGGACATTTTCTCCTTCCTTTATTCTTCCACAGTAGAATGTATTACACCACTCAACACACTGTGGTGCTGGGGCAGTGGGATTTGCACTGCTTCAACACTGAACAGACCCCTATGCAACATCAGAAGCGCAGAAAAGACTCCAACACAATTTTCTCCCCTGCTGACTGCACCAGCGCCATGTTTGAGGACTACAAATTAAGCCATTATAACCATACAAAGACAGTGGCATTTGGAAAAACAGATTAAGGGTATTTTTGTTTTCTTTTTTTAATTAACAAGGATGAGAGTAAACCAGATAAAAACGTCACAGAATTGATCCCTAAAGAGTTTAAGAGAGCAAACCTGAATTTTGGATAGCAACTTTCGAGTCCAAGATTCATTAACACTTCCCACCTCCTATTCTTCCCTGACATGCCTCTGTTGGCAGAGATCTCCAATTTCCTCACCCTATGTTTCCGCTTCTCTTTCATAATATCCTTGGTGTCCTGAAGCATTTTCTCTTTCCAAAGGTCAAAGAAATATGATGGATCTGTGTAGAATGGGGGGGAAACACACAAACAAGGACCAAGTCACACATTGTTTGAAGCCCAAAGAAAACACAAGGCACAACCCCAGATGACAGTTTAAACGTCTGCAGTGAGAAGGTCAAACACGCTGCTCTCGCCTCTGTCCTCCATTTCAGAGCAGGCAGCAGACCCACAGCCTCACTTGTCCTGGCTCTCCCACTTGCCATAGCTTTTGCCCTCACACAAACTCTCCATTACTCAGCACCCAAAGAGCTCAACTGCTCTAAACAATCACCAAGAGCAGCAGGTCTCTCACTTCAACTCCCACTTGTTTGTGTTGTATTTTTGGTGTGAAAAAAACCTTCTCCAGCCCAGGAACCCTAAATCAGACCAGCAGCATCCCTGAAACTCATGAGCGAGCACACACACGCACGCACACACACACTCACTCTCCTCCTACTTTGCAGTGCAGCCGCGTCTGGCAGAAGACAGCTGCCTCCAGCTATCTGTAATTACTTTTTACCTGTTCAAAAGATATTTATGGATGTGGGCTAAGTCTCTGTATTCTGACCCCCTTTACTTCTACTACCTACAAGATGAAATCAGAGCGGGACTGCTCAGAAGAACTGGTTACACAGCCAGCACAGGTCACATCAGATGTCTCAGACCAGGCACAAAAGGCCACAAAAAGCATCTCCAGATTCTACAGGAGTCTGCTGCACCCACCTGGGTGAGAGCCATTTGCAGATGTATGCTCTGCAGTTTGCACTACAGCTTTCTGGAAAGGAGCCACAGGGCTACAGAGAAGCACAAGAAAAATGCATCATCTGCACAACACCTAGCATGTTTATGCAGTGCCAGCCAAGCCTTGCCCCAAGGCAGTCACAAAAGTGACAGCAGGTAACCAAATATATAATTTTCTAGCTACACTCATTTGTACAGCCCCAAAAGCGAAGTTTCACGTAATCCAGAGGATGGAGGTCTCCTAGTGGATCTCAGTTTCGCAACTCGATTTCCCATTGGAAATGGCTACTTCAATACAGCACGGAATGGGAAATGACCTCCTTGGCAGGCTGGGGGGAAGAGGTACTCCTCTGCAAGGGAACAAGGGGCCAAGAAGGTGTTGCAGCCATACCTGTAAGGTGAGAGAATGTTGAGAGGTGGAGGAGTGTTGCAGGTCCTATAGGTTTCAAGGACAGGCACGGGGAGAGAATCTCTGTCAAAGAGCTTCTGGTCCTGAGTAGTGGAGCTTTTGAAGGCCTTCCTGGTGTTAATGCCTTGCAGGGAGACTGTAAGAAAGAGGAGAGAGCAAGTGAAGAACAGCTTGACCCAAGCCAATGACACTGAAGATCAAGTAGCAAACATCTGATTTCAGTTGGAGTTCTTGGCACGCTTAGCACTTCTTAAGGTCAGGTTCCTTTTCCCACAGATCTCTTGGGAAACCCAGCAAATCTCAGATCATGCCGTGCCAATACCCGCTGCTGTATAGACATGGCTCTCTTGAGAGTTGCCAATGTGGTTTCAAATCCCTGCGACCAAGACTCAAGAAGTGCACCGCTATCAAACTGCTGAAAAGTGAGTTTCCACATGGAGACTTGCTAACAAGCAAATCTGGACTTGGCCAGAAAGGCTATCCACATGAGCAGCACAGTGCTTTTTCAGGAGTGGAGGAAACGGTCCCTCTTAGTCCAAGAGAAGACGTTCCAACGCCCATCACAGCATCGTTTTATGGCCGCGAATTGACCACGCTGACTCAATAAGAATCTTTACCACGCTTGGTCTGCAAGGACTGTGCTCCACTCCATTACCTTCTTCCTCTTTGGGATCCAGCTGAGTGACTTTGACTTGCAAGCGGTCAACTCTCTCGACTAGAACGCTCACCCGAGACGCAAAGGTGTTGGCTTGAGTAAACAACTCTCCAAATATGTCTTCTGCAAATTTACCTGGAATATTAAAGCGTCCACATTACCCTCGTGAGCCACATCAGACCACATTCAGTCTCCCAGCTTGTTTTCTTGAAGAAAGAAGAAAGAAAGAAGGAAAAAACCATGCGTCTTTTCAAGTTTGTCAGGGTTGAGTTTTAACATCCAGCAAGAAAATGCTCTATTCCACCAAAACCTGACATTTCCAAGGGATCTTCAAGCAATAAAGAAACAATCGAGTCATACTTTCAAGTCATTATTAAAGTAACAAAATAAGGAGGGCTGACAACACTGTGCTGGTCTGAATCTGGATGGGTCTGTAGTCCTTTAAGATTCTCTGCTGTTCTGTTTATTAGACAAGCAAATACAGTTAGATTTTTATTGCTCTGGAGAATCTCAAAGGCTCCCAGTCTCCAGCAGGCCTGCCTCCAGGGTAACTGGCACATATTTACAAGCTCAAAGTACTCTGGAACTAGAGAGCAGACCCAGTCCTTGATCCTAAAGCCTGAGCTACAACCACAGACGAAAGCACTGACCCTTTTGTTCCTTCAGGTGGCAGTGTCTGAAAAATTGATGCATTCACGTTTATTCTAAATCAAAACCAGAGGGGAACTTCTCACACATGGATATTCTCTCTGTAACAGCTTGGATTGCCCAGTGGGCTGCTATGAAAAACATCATCCATCGTTTAGACTGCAAGAGTGCCTAGCCTAGGGGCTTGGATCAGGAGCTTGCTGCACCACTTACCAGCCTAACAAAAAGATGTCCCCTGTCCTTAAGAGTTTAAAAATCTACGCATACAAGAGATGACCACAGGTAGACAGGGGTGGGAGAACTGGAAGAAAACCAAGAACTTACAGTAACCAAGAACTTACAGTAAGTACTATCTTTTTGTTCTGCTCTCAGGCATAACTCAAGACAGGGAGCCCTCATCATGCCGAGGACCACACTGATCAGAACAGACTTGGCACTGACAGCAGACGCAGGCCCGTGGAGTTCCCACTGATGGGAAACATTTCCAGCCACGGATGTTGAGTACAAGGCTGCTCCCAATAAGCAGTCTGGTTTTGAAGTGCATCATCATATGGTCAACAGTTTGTTCTGGAATCTGTTACTCCTGAAGATCCTCTCTGACATTCAGGAAAGGATAACCAGTTGGAAGCCTAACTTCAACAGCAATTTTGGAAAATCTGGCTGTCTGCAATGAGTCACACCAGAAAGGCAAGCGCCCCTTCTGCAAGGCAACGCGAGGGCATCCCCCAAAGCCCAGCTGCACAAATACTTTCAGCTATCTAAACTGACATATCAGCTACTTGTTCATACTCCCATGCAGTTCTCCTTACACTGCCAAGCACGAGGAACCAGCCAGGTTAAAAATCAACCTCCTCCACCCCTTCTGGTGGCAATGCCAGCTTGAAGTGTTTATAGAAAGCAAATGCTGGATGTTAACTTCAACTGACCTCCTCCTTCCGTGTCTCCACATACGCTCCATTAACAAGCCCAACCAGCTTTCCTCAAACTCATGAGAGGGATTTTACTTCTGGAGACCTAAGGGCCAGGTAGCTCTTGCTATAGCAACAGTTCAAAAAAGAAAAGTTGGAATTTGGTTTCTACTTTAATAAGAACCGAAAATAATTTCTGAATTTCACAAGGAACTGTGACAAGCACTAGGGAAAAAATAAAGTCTTTGGTTTGCAATGCTGAGTAGTACGTTTCAAGCATAAAATAATATATTAAACAGCATTGTATGTATCAGTCTTGACCCTGGAGGGAGATGAAGGGATGGTCCGTATTCCCTTGCCTGTGTAAGTGCACCTGTACGGAGTTACCATCCAGCATCTCACATACTGTTCTGTGTTTCATGTACACTTTTAGATGAGATAAGGCAGAGATTAATTTTTTGGTTTAGTTACTTTGACTGCAAAAGTGCAGCTTACAATCAGAATTATCTTTGTCATGCATTGGCAGGAAGACAGACGGCATGATTTAATAGGTCTTTCCATCTTTAGCTTGTGGATTCTATAAAATCACACAGAAACGCACAGTCGACTTATACAAAGTGCTACCAGCTGTGATAGTAACGAAGGGTAAACTCACTGGAATATGAAAGTTTGACAAGATTTATGTTTGCATCTTTGTAAAGAGACTGCGGTGCACTAGGCATGGCTGATTATTCACTTGACAGGGCTGTCACAGCCTACTGAACCTGCTTTACGTTCCTGTAATATTCAACATACAAGGAAGGAGCGGATTTATTTTTCAGAACTAAGAAGAAAAAAGGAGCGGGGGCAGGACTTTGGCCATCTGGGTGCAAGCGTTCTGTAGCAGTTAGTCTAAATAGCGCTCCACGTAAAATACTGCTGGCCCTAGGGAAGCGGGTAAGAGACGGTGCTCAGCATTTCCTCCACACCCGCCTCGCTCCCCTTACGCAGGCAAGCGCGCAAGTGTCAGCAAGAGCCACCTCTCCCGAGTTTTCCCTCCAGCGCTCTCCTCGAGGTATCTGCGATTGGTGCAGCAGCACGCACTTCCCTCCCCACATTGCCGAGCGAGGCTCCCGGGGTGCCTTCCCAATAAAGAAACCGGGCTGCGATTTGGCTTCCAGCACTTCACCCTCTCTGACGAGGCAGAGAAGCTTTGAATACCTGAGTTGCGCAAAGAAGGTCTAAACCTGAAGGATCTCACCATGGCTCTGTCACGCTAACCCGCTGCATGCCTTTGGACTGGGATTAGCTTTCTCTGCAGCTGAGATTTGCACAGCTTTACTGCCTTCTTCCTCATCATTTCACATGCACGAGATGGATTTTACTCACACTCCACAACCATCTTGGCTACAAGACCTAACAAATGAACAACGAGGGCCAGTTGAACGTGAGCAGAGAGACTGGTCTTGCCTGCGCAGTGACATTTCTACAACCCAACAGAATGCGATACCGACTGGCAGCAAACACAGGCCCAGATTTTAGCAACAGCCATGGTTTTCACTGCTGGAAAGAGACTACACCCAAACTTCCCCTACCACGTTCACGCTACGGCGGAAGACAAAGGGCTTGCTTTGCAGAGCAGGCAGAAGTGCTTGCAGACACCATGGAGAAGCTAAACAATATATTAATTTGATTATCCAAGTCTTGCTTCAAGGGCAGAGGTGGCTAATCAGAATCCAGAGCATTTCAACAGACTAAGGAGTCATCCCAGAGAGACCACAATTAACTCTTCGCATCTCCTATGGCACGTAGGCCCCCATTTTCCCTCCAGCCCTTACAAGGCTATTGGACAGCCCACTGGAGAGCTGCGCTAGGCATTGCTACAGCTCGTGCTGCCATGTGAGCGAGCAGCCCCAAACCCCCAATACTCCAGAGGCCACACTTGGCTCAGACTGGGGACTTGGGGTCTTGCAATGCAACAAACAGCAGGGGCAAACAGGCGGCTTCTGCGTGTGCGCTTTAATTATCTTTCATTAAAAATAAGACTACTGACACACTGTAGATTCAACACAGTCAAGCTCCATTTAGTAGCGCGTGCAATTACAGGCACATTCTCTGACACAAGATCCTGGCTGCTCGGAGAGCCTCCCATTTTACAAGCCTGAGTTGTGCTCCATCCTTCCATCTGCAGTTTCGCTGCAGCCTCTCACACACGCACGCACACACACATACACACCCCCCTCCCATTTTCTCTTAGATGGGAAGGCAGTGGGACCAGGGATATGAAATTAGCATCAGATTTCTTTAGGAAAACATTTTAGCATTACCCAGGGAAGGCAGATGGGGGAGAAATAGGAACACGAGAGTAGAAAGGGAGCTAAATAAAGAGCACTAGCGACTCCTGAGGGCAACGTGCAGGCTCGCCATGGTACTCACTCAGGCTGCCCAGCTGTCGAATGACATTTGCCAGGGTGATGTTGGTCATGCATTCCAGCTCGCTTCGAACACTAGGCAACGTCTGACGGCACAGGTGCCTTGGCTCAATGTTCCTCGTTACTAACGGCATGGTGGACCTGCTTCAGGCACTGTTCTGAAAGATGAAAAACAACCCAAAAAAGAAACAGGAAAGGATTACTCAACCGCAAATTCCAGGCACACCAGAACCATGGTGTTCGTTTTTCCTGCTCTCAAATGGCGTTATTTATAAGCCTTCTTTCCCCCCTCCCCACCCTTACAAAACTGGTTCATCAGAAATAAAGATCCTGCTGTTCTATGACTTGCAGTGACAGCAAAGCCCCACCAGCTCAGGTACAGAGGCAGAGATGGAAAACTACACATCTTCGCCCACACGCAAGGTGCTGCTGGCATTACCGCAGCCGTTGTTCCCTTCCTACCCATCCGCCACCTCTGAGCGGTCTCCTTCCTCCCGCGCTCACACACAGCATCTTTGGCGAGTCCTACAAGCTCTTCTTCAGAAATATTTTAAACTTGCAATCAATAGGTTTGCTTAAACTGAGAGGATGAAGATGGGAGATGTTAAAAAAAAAACAAACAACCAAACAACAAAACCACACAGCTTCTTCCAGCACCCCAAAGCACACGCAGTGCCTCTCTCCCGGAGCAGCACAGACAGGGCTCTCCTGGAACAACAGGAAGGGCTTGCAGCTGACCAGGAAACTTTCTGGTGACTGTTCCTTATCCTGCAGGCTGCACCCCTCTTCCCTTGGGAAATCCCCCGGGGCCGAGGTTTACACTGGACCATTGTTTTCCTGCCACAGCAGTTTAAGGATGAGGGAGCTCTAATCAGGATGCAGGACTAGAGCGTGCTCAGAAAGAAGTCAAGATTGCTTGTACAACAGTTGGGACGAGCTTCCAGTTTTTTCTTTTAAAAAAAAAAAAAAAAAAAAAAAAAAAAAAAAAAAAAAAAAAAAAAAAAAAAAAAAAAAGAAGAAAACATAAGTGTCCGGAAGTTATGCTTTAGACAGAAAATGCTTTTATGTGCGGGTCAGTGTCTTGAACTAACGAAAATCTCCTTTGCTAACAGGCTGAAACGTTGAAGCAGCAAACAGCTCCCTCTCGGATCATCTGCCTCCGAGACAGAGAAGGAAACTTGGGTAAACAGCGCTCAGAACAAGAGGCACAATACCTGCCTGAAATCTTCAAGACTAAGTGAAAGCAAATACATCCCAACTTCTTGATTAATTTAGAAGGGGAAAGAATCACTTTTCTAGGTCAGCTGAGGAACAACCCAAGAGAAGCAGCCAGCTCCCATGTGATAGGCATGCTGATCTGCTCGGGCTGGGTGTAAAAATAAAACAGGAAGCTAACAGCTTGGGGAACATGGCTTCCTGTCACCAACAGCAAACACCCAAGAACCATAAAAAATCAGCTGTTTGCTCTTGACTTTGAGCCACCCTTTGATAGTCTCTGTGGCAGCTGGCAGCTTATCTTTGAGGTCCAGGAGTCCTTCCTGGATGCTTTTCTATCAGGGTGTTAAGAGGAAGAAGTGGGCATTATCCCTCCTAATTACCTCACAAGCCAGATTTTGAATTGCTAAATTTGACCCATTAAGGCAGAGGAGTTCAAGAGCCACAGCATACCGGGCGCACGGATATCTCCCAGACAAGCAGATGCAGGTTGCCATTTTGCAACGCCTCTACGGGAGGGATTTTGTGTGCTTGTCCCTGCGCAAGGAAAGGGTCCCCAAAACCGCACACCTTACAGAGGAGGGGAGCGAGATCTGCATCCACATAAATAAAAGCAGAGACTCTCCGAGGACTGAAGTCCGTGCTGCTCTTCACCGTGTCCAAGCACTGCAGCAGCCATCAGTAACCGCTGGGATATTTACAGAACAGGGTGAACTAAGGAAGGACTCTGACCTTCGCTTCTAAATACCCCGTGTTTTATCGATTACAGCCCAAGCCCTACAATCTTTTGTCAGCTTTAGCGCTTTAAGCCAGACAAACTTTCCCAGCTCCCCCCAGACTGCAGTCTGCACCAACAAGCAGCTCTCATAAACAAGGCAGCATTTGCAGGCTGCCTGCATCGAGCTTCTCCCCCGTGCTTCCCCAGGGCTCGGCCAGGGAGCACACGCGGTGGGATCTGCAGAGCCAGAGCGGGCAGCCCATCCACCAAACCCAGCTGGAAACCTTCCAAGGTGCAGGACAGACAGAAGGAAAACAGCAAGAGGAAAAACAAGCCTGTAAGGGGGAAGAGATGGGAGCACGCCTGTATAAAAAAAGACCAAAAACCCCCAAAGATGACAGGTATGCCGGCTCAGACAGACAAAGGTAGCAGTAATCGCTGCAGCTATGGGGAGAACAGGGCAGAAAATGGACTAGTGCCCCAAATACCCACAAACAAACAAGGGCTCAGAATATGTTGTCTGCATACAGCCCCCCCAAAAGTGTTTGCCTTCAAAGCATGTTTTGAGACTAAAAGCAAGGAGTAGTGGTGAAAGTTGCTTTTTTTTTTTTTTTAAATAACAATGGTACAGCACAGGTACATTATGAATTTGCACTGGTGCAAGACAGCAGAGATAAGGGCTAAGAAAAACACTCCCTTTATAGCCTGGCTCATCCTGCCAGCCACCCCCACCCTCCCAGCACAGCCTGCCACACTCCACTGCAGAATCAAGAGTTTCGCCCTTGCGATCGCTACGACAGCCCTCCTCGCGAGTACGGCAGCATTGCTTCTTCCCAAGGCGACGGGGACGGCTCTGCTGCCCCGCTGCTGCTCCTAACACCAGTCGGGATCCAGTAAGCAGCAGTCAAACTAAAGGAAGAGATTAACCCCCTGGACCAGCGGAGACGAGCAAGGCAGGGAGAACAGGACGGGCTGTGGACAACCACCCTTCTGCTCTTGCCACAGCCAGAGGCCTCTGGGATAAGAGGCATTCTAAAGCAAAATTTCCTCTCCTCTGAGCGGAAGGACAAGGAGCTTCAAGGTTTCAGATGTTTTCACAGGGTGGAGGCAGGCAGATAGGAAATCTAGGACCTGCAACCAGAGCTTGGTGCCAACTTTAGCAAAAAGAGCAGTTGATGTCCCCACAAGAAGGCATTTCACTGTTAGACCTCATTTTTCCTGTGAGTCTTTGGAGGGTAGGTATAGAGATAACAGCTAATGGGCTCCTGTAAAACCTTCATGCCTCGTGAGTAGGTGGGACAAAGATTAATAGTCTGGATTGGAAAATAAGTGGTGTATTTCGAAAGCAGCAGTCAGGAGGAGCAGAAAAATCAAGTGTGGAGAAGGGACAAGGCATGAGAGCAGAGGGAGAAGGAGGAAGCAAAACACCGGAGACAGCACAAGGCATACAGCTGGGGGCAGGGAAGAGACACAGTAAATGAAACAAGGAAGGGGCAGATCTAAAAAAGCTTTCTGGGAGGCTCTTGCTTTTATTCTTTAAGAGAGTCATTAAGAAGCCAATTGACAGCACGCTACCAGCAAGGGCCATGCAGAACCGCTTTACTTTCAGTGGTCAGGGCATGACAGCACAGCAGTTTTCCACCCCGGCTAGCCAGACTGGTCATCAGGCATTAGTCACTGTCACGTAACTACCGCAGACCATATATTATAACTAAATCCTACCATTCAGAAGCAAGTTAAATTAATTGCGAGGCCAAAAATCCTTATCTTTCAGGCACAGATAAGCATTTCCACTTGCTTATTAATGTTGAAGATTAGATTTGTTTCAGTACTAGAGTTTGGGGTGCAGAAGCTGTTTTCAAGAAGCTACAAGAATGGCACACCACGGGCACAGAGGACCTGCCCCGATCCCACTGTAACAGGAGAGGAGATCCAGTACGTTAAAAGTAAAAGGCAACCGCCTCTAAGAAACAGCAAACTGTCTGCAACAGATTTCTAATGAATATGGAGAAAAAAAAGAAAGGCATCAAATTGAAACACGGTGCTAGCTATGTGAGGAGGGAAGTTAAGCGACCTTTGCTGGTTGCAGAGCACCACTGGTTGGGAGAGCTGT